CTAATGATGAAATGCATTGAGAAAGGAACAGAAAGAAACATTCATTTTTCTTTCAAGCTTCCTTTATGCATCACAAGCAAGGAAAAATGAAGAGTAGCCTCAATCTTTTGTATTTTACCTTTTTTTTTAAGGCAAAACAGCTTTATCAGTGTTGCTGTTGACAGCGTCATGGGTTTTGGCTCACTGACACATTTATCCAGCCTGTCCATCCTTCACATGAACCTTTTTATAAGGATATTTTCCTTTGTGGCTGTATTATTTATAATTTGTATTACAGGACCAGTCTCCGATCGACGTCCTATTCTGCCATAAACACGGCCCTTGCATCCAAGACCTTCAGTCTGTATTTTATACCTACTAAGCGTCTCTTACGAAGTAGCAATTAATTAGTCCCGACAGTGTCCCAGACAGACAATTTGTAGTGTCTCCTTAATAGCAAAGGGAGAAAGGGAGAGGTTGTTACTGATGAGACATGCTGCAGGTGAGTACCAGCACCAGGGAAGATAACTACAACTTCTGATTGTTATTGTTAAGCCTCATTGTCACAAGCCAGTTTATCGCTAACATACTGAATAGGAATACCCTGGATAATTAACCCCTTTATTTTTTTTTTCCCCCAAAAATTAGGTTGACACAGTTACAGGTGGGGTTGAAAAATGTCAGTCCCTGCAGCGAGGAGCCTGCTGTCAAAGCTACATCTTCGCAATGAGACGTGCTCAGACAATTCCTCTCCTCCTTTGCTTGCAGGGAGTTAGACTCTGCCATGCTGCGGCGGCTGGAGAAGAGGATTTTGGTTGACCTCCCAAGTAAAGAAGCACGGCGGGTGATGATCCAGCACTGGCTGCCCCCTCTGAGCAACAGCGGAGGAGTGGAGCTGAGAACGGATCTGGACTACAGCTTGCTGGGCCAGGTGAGACAGCACTGCAGCAGGGACAACGCCTGCTCGGTGCCCGGGGTCTTTCTCAGTGGGAACCATAAGGGGAAGAGAGATATACATCTCCCACAGTGCTGGGATTACATTGTGGCAGAAGAGGTCCGAAGCAGAGGGTTCTATACCTCTGTATACAGTAATTGCGACATACAGAGCGCGGGGAAGGACCCCAGCTCAGTTTTGAGGTTCCAGCCAGAAGGAGACCAGCGAGACACAGGGCCGAGCATTTCACGAGCACGTACCTGGCCGTGGAAATCCCTGGTTTCACACAACTCTGCTTGCCAAATGGTGTCTTCTGATCCTCTCTGTTGGGCCAACTTTTCAGCCTTAAATACAGGGAGACTTCTAGCCGTAGTCTATTTTATCACTCTTCTTCTCACCAAGCTGGGAGCACTTCCAATTCATCGGGGTAATGAACAGTTAATTGTGGACAGAAGGTTTGTCACAGCTCCACTGCTGCGGGAGAAAAGAGCATTTAGACAGTGAAGCGATTCACTGGATACCCAGGCTTGCTTCATTTAGCCCTTTGTCACATCCTAAATTCTTTGAAAATATCTTACAGCTTACCCAGCTGGCCCTTTTTACGTCCATTCACAGAGACAATACTGCTTAGTTTTTGTTTCATGTTAATCAGGAAATACAGTTATTTTATTAACAGAAAAGCCAGGAACAGACACAGATAGACGGGTTTTATTTGATCTACAGAAAATTGCCCATTAGAAAGAAAAAGCCCAGTATTTTCCTTGCTCCGACAAGGTAGTGTGGGCATTCAAAACAAGAACAAGCAACATAATGCTGAGGGGACGGTAGACATAAAAATGTATGTGTGTGTATATATACACACAGATATATATTTCAGACAGGAATAGACTTTGCAAACATTTTATATAAAAATATATATATGCTTGTAAATACCATTCCTATCCGACTTGTAAGCTGTAATGTATCCTGTCACAGGAAACAGATGGCTACTCTGGCTCAGACATCAAACTCGTGTGCAAGGAAGCAGCCATGAGACCAGTGAGGAAAATTTTCGATGCTCTTGAAAATCATCAACCAGGTACCACAGCTCTGAGTAAAGAATCCGATCTGGGAAATGCTGATCTATTGCTGTAATTCTAGAAATTCTGTTGTTAACCCCAGCAGGTGGAGCTCTGTTACCTGCTTGGAAAAGTTTTAAACTGCACATTTCTAAAACTTCTACCTAAGCTAACATTTCTGAAAATCAGACTGGTTTTAAAGCTGTCAGTACCTGTGCTCTGTGCACAAATACAAATTTTTCTTTCTCTCACTAGGTTTATTCTGTTGTTTTCATGTATTAAGTGTTGCATTAGGCAGGGACATAAAATAATGTCTTTTGGTAATAATAACAGTATTTAATCAATTCTCTTTTCTTTAGGTAACAGTAACTTACCCGTGATCCAATTAGACACGATCACAACAGCAGATTTCCTGGATGTCATCACCCACACCAAGCCATCAGCAAAGAATCTAAGCCAGAAGTACACAGCTTGGCAGAGAGAATTTGAGTCAGTTTGAAAAGAAAAACCCCAAAAGATTGAAAACTTCCAAGACTTTTTGCTATGCAAAATGGCATCACCTTGCCTACAAAGGATTGAATGCTGATACAGAAGGAATTCGAGTTGTTTCCAGGGAAATCTTTGCTTTCAAAATTTAAAGGCGGGGGGGGGGGGGGGTGTTAGTTATTTTTTTATTAGCCATTTTCAATGACTGTTCCAAAAACATCCTTCATGGAATTATTGTAATGGCAGTTGCTATGTAACGAAGACTCCGGCCTTAATTTTATGTATAAAGACTTAAAAGATTGATTGATTCTCAAGCCTTTATTCATGCCAGTTGTTTACAGGTTTGAGGGAGAAGAACTGGAGCAGAAAGCTTGTTAAGAACGGTTAGATGATTAGTGTAATTCTCCCTTCCTGAGACTCACTAGAGCGGCATGAGCAGCGTAGCTTTACCACCAGAGACCTGCACCCTTTTTAATGAAACGTGACTGCTTTCAGTGAAATTCGGGACCTCAGCAATGCCTTGTAAATTTGGTTAGTTTGTCATCGTTTTCAGCCGAGATCAAAGCCTTGATGTGCCAAATGTGTTACTTTCCAGTTGGTTTGGGGTATTTCCAAGGTGGAAAAATCAAAGAATTAGAGGAACTTGGAGATATTGTAGAAAATCAGCAGATTTAGGCTAATCTTAACTAGCAGCTGGATTAGTGGTTACCCACGGGTTTGGAGCCAGCCATAAAATGCAAATAGTGAGTCTTTGCAGCGCAGTGGTAAATACAAAGTTAGAGACTTTCCTGCTTATAAACACAGCCAGGACTGCCACTTGTCCTGCAATCTCTTCATTAGAAATTCTAAGTCATTTTTTTTTCAGGCTCTCGGGTCTCAGTGCTGCCCTTCTCTTACCCTCCCTCTTGCTTGGCAGGACAGTTATCCTCTTTACAGTTCTCCCACTGTTTTCTTTGCATGGGCTTGTATGCAGCTCCTTTTCCAAGTCCTGTGGTCTTGCACCCTTTCCAGCACATTCCGGGACCTCTAAAGCACCGAGAGTCTCTCTGTTCCAGCATCAGTCACGTTGTCAGAAGTCTTTCTGGGAAATGTCTTCACAAGATTTTGCTTATAGATCTCTTGCCTCCTGAACCTGACTCTGACTACAGGCCAAAGACCTCCCTCACGTATTCCAAGCAGAAAGAAACACAGGTTCGGAATTATCAGCATGAATGCTAGATGTGTGAATTTATTCAAAACTGTAGGTTGTAATTTATGAGGCCATACAAACAGTATCTAAAAATGGCTTTTGTTCCAGGGTGGAGGTGTTTCTCGTGTCCTGTGTTTCTTGTGTCCTGCGTAGTCTACTCCATCCACACGTTCTGATAGATACTAAATCTGAATATAGGTAACTACCCGCCGTGTGAGACTACAGATAGATACTCCTTCATGAAAGGAGAGCTTCCCCGTAGTCTACTCTATCCACACGTTCTGATAGATATTAAATCTGAATATAGGTAACTAACCACCGTGTGAGACTACAGACAGATACTCCTTCATGAAAGGAGAGCTTCCCATTCATTCATCACGATGGTTTTTCTTAACAAGAACGAGCATGGCTCATTAACACAAAACTGTATTTTCAATAAGGTTAATACTCCGGTAATGTATAATTACAATCTAATAATTTAACACTCAAGAGCACTGTAAAACAACTGTAAAGGACTGTGATTATTACGGTTTGCAAATGGACCAGAAAAGCTATTTACCATCATTGCAAAGTTGGTTCATATTGGGGGATTTAGCGCATCGGAAAAGCATTACATACTACAGAATTAAATTTCATTTTACAGCTCTGCTAACCAACTGTATAAAAACTGGAATCTGTCCCTATGGCTTGTGAAGGATTTTTCCCATACCATTAAAAAGAAACAAAAAAACCCCCAACAATAGCGAAATTTTGCAACTGTAGCATTAATAGGACCCTGCTGAAGTCTAATTTCAAAAATTCAGTCTCTAAGGCATTTAAAAACAGATTTTTGTTTCTGCATCATTCTTTTTAATAACAGCATCTAATTAAAACATCTGTAAAATGCTGACAGTTTCAATTTTATGTAAAATTTGAGAAACAAAAACCAGGATCTGCTCTAATGAGAGGAAAGATATCAACAGTAGTTATTATTAAACAACGGTGATATTTTAATTGAAAAGTCACTTCTAAGTGTGCCTAACCTCTGCCTTTAAATTAGAGCAGCGCAGAGACATACTCAGTGAAATCACTACAGGCTGACTAAGGCTCTGTTAGTCTTTGAGGTTTATTTACTTGCGTATTTCCAGTGCGGATTTTTCAGTTTAGCTGATTCAGCAGAAGACCGTGACACTTTCCAGACAAGGCTTTTCATCAGTTATTTATTTCTTGAAAATAAACAGAACTCTCTGCCACGCTCCCTCTGTCATTCAGGAAAGCAGCTGCGTTGGTTGTAGCCTTTCTGCCTCACCTGCTGCGTTTCTGTGATCTCTCATCACGTCCTCGTGAAACTACTACAGGAAGGGGGCTGTACCGGGAGCTGATGGGGTGGTTTCTGATGCAATGCATGCATTGATCCTGTGATCTTAATTTTTTGAAGTGAGAGTAAAGGAAATTACGTGAAACAGATGTTTCTTCAAACTAACTATTCCCTTTCTCATAGCAGACGCTCTAAGATGTGTTCCACTGCCTCTGGGAAATTCTCACAGGTTAAATAAGGAGCTGGATTGATTTTGTCTTCATCTGCCCGTCGATATTTACCTGTAACAGATTAACAAAATGCTGCATTTACCAAGCTCCTTCGAGTATCCTTTTTTTATCCCTGAAAATTACAGCCTCCTTGGACCAGTAACAACCAGACACAGTAGGAGGAACGCCCATCTGAGGTTCTCCTGCCACAAACATCCCCCAAATCTTCCCTAAACAAACCCTGAGCCTTACTAACGATCCCTCCAGGGGCAGCTCTGGCTCAAAATTAGGGTGACTTATGCACTGGTTTCACTGCTGTACTGGCAGTATTATTCCACTGGTTATTCAGATATTCATGTTGTAGGTTCTTGAAATAATAATGTTATCATCTTCTGGCTTTTATGAGGAAGAGTAGGATTAGTTGCTTTTGTTTTCAACATAATGGACTATGTGGCATGAGCAGCTGCCACCTCAGAAAGACCTTACGCAGTCCATGGTACCATCAATAACATTGATAATACCTGTCAGTCTCTCAAGGTTCCGCTTTTGTCTGAAGCAAAATTACTTTTCTAATTACCAGTATAATTACTAGGGAATGTCACCAGAGTTCCTGAATGATGAGAGGTTACATTGCTGCGACTGATTTGGGCAATCTAAGATGTCACAGTAACAGTTCTCTCTGTTCCTTGGTTAGTGCTCAGGATTTTAGAGTCATTAACGCTAAAAATTCACACCTACAC